ACCTCGCTAGCAAAGGACAAAGGCTTATTGTTCCTACACGACAACTCCAAGCCCAAGACAAAGAACATCATCCCCGTCTCAACCGTGTATGATTTGGCCTAATACATATTGACCAGTCCATATTGTATTTGGTCTGATCATTTACATAATAAGTTATGCTGATAAGTATATATTCACAAACTTGCGCAAGTTGTACGTACATGTGATCTTACTTGAGAATAGAAAAATTGATTGCACTTTAAAATTTTAATATAACTTTTATAATAATTTATATGAGTAAACACTTTTTTTAGTCCCTGTCAATATCTACGAAGTCCTTTTTAGTCCCTGGCAATAAAAAAGGACCAAATTAGTCCCTGAAATTACAAAAAAAGGGCCATGTTAGTCCTTATGTCAACTCCCAAATATGTAGAGTGGCCATTTTCTTGTACTTTCAGGGACCAATTTGGTCTTTTTTTATTGTCAGGGACTGAAAAGGACTTCGTAGATATTGCTAGGAACTAAAAAGGGTGTTTACTCTACTTTATATTGTTTGATGAACAAAACATGATGCAAATATCATATTGTCAATCCACCGCGGAAGAGAATAATACGTTTAAATGTCAACACCGTGTCTCCAAGTTCGTTTGAGTAAGTAACGAGTTAAATATATAATACTAATGATGATCTATCTCTATTTATGTTACTTGATATCTTCAATTATAGTTTTTTTTGCGGTATGATGAATGCGAAAACGATAGAGAACAACCGTGGCATGGATCAGGGGATATATATATATCGATTAATGTTTCTTATATTATAATTTTATCTTTTACACACATTGTAAAGAATTAATTCAACCCAAAAATTTAAGTTATTGGGTGAGGTTACATTAATGATTTTATATATCTCAACACACATATAAAAATTTGTGGAGCCATTAAAGAGAAGAGATAAAAAAAATAAAATATGAGCCCAAAATACTTTTATATGTGAATAAGAGATAAAATTATCTCCTATAGTATAAGAAACATTAATATCAAAAGTCAACTTAAGGAGGTGTTTTTTGTATTTAATTCAGGAGTAAATAAGTGGAAGTATAACTTAAGATCCGATCTAATGACAACGCGGGGAGCATGTCGCATCACAGGCGCACAATATGCAAGTAGGATATCATATTCATTACCACGGAAAATATTAATCCCATCATGTTACTAATAAAAAGGAGAAATTGATCATATAACATATTATTTGCATGTTATTTGAAATTGGTTTCGTTAAAGTGTTACATAATTAAAGAAATCATTAAACAAAGATGAATGCATTTTATATACTAAAAATCTAAACGTATTTATTATTTTACCATTATAGTAGTTAAAATAATTTAATAAAATGTTTACCAAATTATTTTTTTTAATAAAAGGTACTAAAATGTACTCCTTGTCTAAGTGGCTACGCTAATAAAACTCTTAAAATTAAGGGTCTTGCTAACAATTACTAAGACTTAATATATATAATTTGTACATTGTGGTATAATCAGTTTACATTGAATTATAAGATTTTTTTTTTGAACAATAACTTTACTTTTGAAAAATTGCGAGTGAATTTATAATAGACGGCATACATATTAGACCAGAATTAAACGGTGCATCCGGCGACATTATCGGCAGAAGGACCAAGCCTTGCTCATATAAATGGAGTTAAACAAAAAAAAGATAGGCAAACCAACATATATAGTCATGACTGACATAAAGATGTGCATTGCCGAGGTTTTCTTTTGTTGCCTGAGTTTCGGCCTTTGACGCAAGTATTTGACTTGAATTGTTCTGTTTATTGTGAGTTCAATGTTCAAAGTCTTTTACTACTGCATTATGGAATCAAACATTTGGGCCTAATCTAAAATATCTAACATATATGTTGTATGCTTGAGATATTGTAATTATGTTAATCGTCAAAACGATTTATCATAAGTTCCCTCTTCAAAATAAATCCAAGGAAAAAAAAGATCTCTTCACTGAGACGGTCCCATTAGTTTTTTTAGAGAAAGTAATATTGTTTGACATCAAAAGATTTTTCAATATTTTACATTTATATTGTTGCATAATCAATTCATTAAAAAGTGTATGTAATACCTCACCCTAAATTTGCAAGCATTATTAAATTTTAATTCACTGTTAATATTGGGAAAAAAAAGTATATACTGTTATCAATTATCATTTTATGTCGTTCGATTTTACAAAGGGAATAGACGACAACCGTAATTATAACTATTATTGGTAAGTCGACAATATTTACATTGATTATGATTATGGGTCAAACGGCATGTTTGTATCTAATAGTTTACCTATATAATAAATTAAAACCGTTAAATATATATAGGATCTATATATCTAAAATTAATAATGTAATTTATATTAGTATAAATTATATATATATTTATTGAAATTTTAAAATCTTAGACTTCTTTTTTGTCAATTAAATGGAATTTTAAAATATTAATTTTTTTAAATTTTCGTTCAACATGTTTCAAAGAAAAAAAAAATATACTGCAAATACAAATAAAGTAATTTTGTTAAAGAATTCTCTAAAGATATTAATTAAAAAAATCAAATAAAAAGTATGAATTTAAATAATTTTATTACATGAAAAACTCTAAAAAATACTTATTTTTTATGAAAATATTAATACTTTTTTTATCAATATTATTAAATTACTTGTTGACAAAGCATTCATAAAATATTCATCGGACAAAAATATCGATATTTAAGTCCGCAACAACTAATGAGCGTATATATGTCATTTTATTCCAACAGAACAATTAATTGGCCTATTGTGGAGTAGATGCACCATCAATCGTCGATGGTATACACAAGTGAGCACTATCTCGGTGTTGTGGCTGGTGGGCACCCTTCATAGTGCGAAATATTTATGAAGGGTTGGAAAAATACGGAAGCATATAAAATTCTTTCAAGTTAGAATTTCATATGTCTTGATAATGTGAATATTTATGTTTATTTCTCTTTATAGGTATTAAATAAAATAAGTGAGATTCAATTAACATTTTTTTAAAAAGATGGACATAAAATTTTCAGACCAATATCACTTTAAATTTTAATATGAGACGATAATTCCCAATAAAATACACTCTCATGTCATTGTCAAATTATTTAAGGTGCGAATTTATTAATCCCATCCAATAACATTTTTGGTGGCTGGCCTTCTACGGCGCTTCAGCTTCAGCCATATGTATGCCGCAGCTGCATGTCTGCTTTTGGATGGAAATAAAAAGAAAAAGAAAATTAATTAAGGAGAATAAATTAACAAAATAAATGAAGTAGAATCAAGTAAGGTATTAAATATTGGAAATAAATTTTTTATATTAAAATTCCATATGACAATTTTATACGAAAAAAAATAAACATAAAAAATTTGCATAATTTTTCACAAATTTTGAAGAGGTCATATTTATTTAATATCTTTTGTATTTATTTTTGTTTATACGACCATATCCAGTAAAACATTTACGGAAGAAAATTTATTCCCTCCAATATTAGACCATAATTCAACGGTGCATGATCCGGCGGCTTTAGCAGCGGAAGGACCAAGCCTTGCTCATACACACGAATGCTTAGTAGGTAGGAGTTTTTGTTGTACTAGGTCGAAAAAATAAAGATAGGCCACGAACATAGTTGATTAAGACTAACATAAAGATGTCCGATGCCGAGGTTTACGTTCGTTTTCTGAGTTGTGTGATGGCCTTTGACGCAAGTATTTGACTTGAATTGTTCTATTTATTGTGTGTTCAATGTTCAAACCCTTTTACTAACACCTTATGGAATCAAACATTTGGGCGTAATTCGAAATGTCTAACATATATGTTGCATGCTTGAGCCCTTGAAATTATGTTAATATTCAAAGCGATATATCAAAGTTTCCTCTTCAAACCAGATTGCAGGAAAAAAAACCAAATCACTGCGTTACTGACATGGTCCCATTAGTCTGGAGAAAGTAACATTGTTTGACATCAAAAGATTTTTCAAAAAGAAACAGAAAAAGATTTTTCAATATTTTGCATATATATTATTCAATAATAAATCAATAGAACTTATTGTATTAACTCAACCTAAAATTATATTATTAATTTTTATTTCACTGCTAATATTAAGAAAAAAGTTTATACTCTCAACGTTTATCATTTTTTGTTGTTCGTTTTTACGAAAAAAAATAGAAGAGACAACCTGATTGCTTTGATAAGTTGACAACATTTACATTTCAGAACACTATTAACCTTGATTATGATAGAGAGTCAAACAGCATATAATTCCAATAATCCAATGCTATGATATGATGACATCATGATTTCCTAATTCCTCAGGGATAAATCAGTCATTTCAGGCCAAAAGCGAGTGAACGTGTGTCCGCAGACTTTTATGAAAAGAGATTGCAATTTCCCTAACGCGGTCCATTACTTTCAGAAAAAGTATTTTTTTTTGTATTAAAAAAAAAAGAAAAAGTATTTTTTTTTCCCAACAAGCATTTATTAAGAAATTAAACATATGAAACATTTTACTTTTTTTTTTTTATGTTCATTATCTTTTATTCTTTAACAAGTCTGAAGGCATTTACTATAGACAAATCATTTAAATAATAATAATAATAATAATAATAAATTGCCCCCACGACTTATGACTAAAAGCAATCGACAACGTATTTTTTTTTTTTGTATTAAAAAAAAAGAAAAAGTATTTTTTTTTCCCAACAAGCATTTATTAAGAAATTAAACATATGAAACATTTTACTTTTTTTTATTTTATGTTCATTATCTTTTATTCTTTAACAAGTCTGAAGGCATTTACTATAGACAAATCATTTAAATAATAATAATAATAATAAATTGCCCCCACGACTTATGACTAAAAGAAATGGCAATAAAATAATCAACCACAAATTTAAGGCAGAGTTTAAATAGCCCCTCGATGACTTGATCCGTTCAATAGTTTCATATCTTGGGTTTCAATCGCACTTCATTGACGCTGTCTTCTCACCTGCTAGCTGCGGAATCATTCTCTCAACTCCATCCCAACAACCTCTACAATTTTCTTCTTCTTCATCAATCACCATGATGCAAATCAGCTCCACCGTTCCAGTTCACAACCTTCACAAATTTCAAGCAATAAGATGTCCTAGCTTCAGATGTCAAGCTTCTCCTTTAAAACCTTCAATGAAACTACCTTCAACCTTTCCTTCCTTTCAGTCTCAGAAACCGTTGATCTCCACCGATTCCACTCGGTTGCATCTCGCCAACCTCGACAAGCTCCTCGAGAGCCAAAAGCCGGTGGTCCCCACCCAACTCCATGATCAGCAGCAACAACAACAACAACCCATACTGAATAACGACTCAAAGGATAAGAAAGGAAGAAGCTTCCTCGAAGGACTCAACCTCGCGAGGCTATGGCCGGAGATGAAAGCCACGGAGGAAATGTCCCCGCGCCACCTGAAGCGCCTCCAACGTCTCCTCTCGATGTCGGCTGAATATTCTCCGAGGAACATCATCGGCGGCAGGTGGAGGGAATATCACGGCAGCAACGACTGGAAAGGGATGTTGGATCCCCTCGATGAGAATCTCCGGCGAGAGGTAATCAGATACGGCGAATTCGTGCAAGCGGCGTATCATGCGTTTCACTCCGACCCCGCCATGTCAACGGAGGAGGCACCCCAGCCTCGCCACGTGGCGTTGTCGGACAGGTCCTACAGCGTTACCAAGAGCCTCTACGCCACGTCATCCATCGGGTTGCCTAAATGGGTCGACGATGTGGCTCCGGATCTTGGATGGATGACCCAGCGGTCAAGCTGGGTCGGGTTTGTCGCCGTTTGTGATGACCCGAGAGAGATCGCACGGATGGGAAGGAGAGACATCGTGATCTCCCTCCGCGGAACTTCCACGTGTCTCGAGTGGGCTGAGAATCTGAGGACTCAATTGATTGAAATTTCCGGGGCCCAAGATAAGGCCCAAGGAAAGCCCAAAGTGGAGTGCGGGTTCTTGAGCTTGTACAAGACCAAAGGGGCTCACGTGCCGAGCCTGGCTGAGTCAGTGGTGGAAGAAGTGAAGAGGCTCATGGATGTTTACAAAGGTGAAAAGTTAAGCATCACCGTCACAGGGCACAGCCTTGGTGCCACACTAGCTTTGTTGGTTGCTGATGAGATAAGCACATGCAGCCCAGATGTACCACCAGTGGCTGTTTTCTCATTTGGTGGGCCTCGTGTGGGTAACAAGGCCTTTGGGGACCGCGTTACGGCCCAAAATGTGAAAGTCCTAAGAATAGTGAACTCCCAAGATGTGATTACTAGAGTACCCGGCATATTTGTGAGTGAAGAGCTTGAGCAAAATTTAAGGAATTCCAAGGTGGGGGGTTTCTTAGACATGTTGGAAGAGAATACACCATTGGCATACTCACACGTGGGAACTGAGCTACGTGTCCACACCAAGATGTCGCCGTACCTGAAGCCGGATGCTGACATGGCATGTTGTCATGACTTGGAGGCTTACCTGCACTTGGTGGATGGGTTCTTGGCATCTAATTGTCCATTCAGAGCAAATGCTAAGAGAAGCTTGGCAAGATTAATGCAAGATCAAGGCTCTAATGTTAAGAAGTTGTATACTAGCAAGGCAAAAGCCTTGACAGTGAATCTTAAGAGACAGGGATCAATGTCTATGTCTACTTGTTTGCCTAGTCCATCTTAATGAAACTCAAATGTGAATATACTCAATGTTGCATATGTACCATGTTGTTACGCTTGTCTTTTAGGTATGTATATTTTTTTGCCCAATTTATCTTGCTGGAAGGACATATATAGTATAAAAACTAAATTAACCGAGAGTGAAATTTGTTATATTTGGCATTTGTAAAACTATTTCATAAATAGATAACACAGTTTTCCTATAAGTAATCCAGTTCTGATTAGTGTTTATACAAATACAAATTAATTTTTATTGCCCTCCAAAGTTTATTTCAATCTTCAAATCAGAGAGTCAGAGTCATGCATTCTTCTTCACTACTTTTTAGAGCAATGGCTCATATTAAATGCTCCAAATAGTCTTCTTTGGATTCCACGCATTGCATCAATCTCTGGATATCTTTCAAAATATAAACACAAATGAAAAATTGAACTTTTTAACTGCTCCTACTTTTGCAACAAATAAGATCTAGTTGGTCAGGATATTCGGCTCTCACCCGAAAGACCCGGGTTCAAGTCCCGGCAACGGAAAATTTTTATTTTGCGTTCTGGTGTTAACACTACCTATCGCATAACGTGAAATCTCAATGAGACATAGAAGAAGTCATAAATTTATACAAATGTTTTTTATTTTTTATTTTTTAAAAATACATTCAGAAGAATGGAAAATGTAATAAAGAGCTAAACAAGAGACAGAAAGTCCTGATGAGCAATTTCCAGGTGAAAGCATTTTGGGAAAAAAACTAGTTGTGCAGGCCACCGTGACGCATCAAGGTCTACCCACTTGTTGAGCATAGCCAGACTTGTGTTGTGGTTCACTGGTTGGCCACAAATTTGAATTAATGGAGGCCTGGCACTGTCCATTGACTGGCTTGCCATTCTGTGGGAAATAGCCAAGAACAATCATCTGTGTACATTGACAATGAAGGAAGGAAGAAGTGAGGTGAGGGGCATTTCACAATTGTCTCACTCCCTGTTCCTCTGTTAGCTTCATGTGATTGTACATTTTTTTTTTTTTTGATACACATGTGATGTGATGGTACTCTAAATACATGACAAGAGGCCCAAGAGCGTCGTGTTATGTTCTTTTGTTGTTTTTATTGGTAGGTATGTTATGTTCTTTACTTAAATCTCGATATCAAAACCTTTCCAATGCATAAATGATCTTTCTCTCTCTCACCCAAACTATTCTGCCTTAGTGCCTGCGATAGTATAGATAAATAAATTTCTTCAGCAGTAATATTATTGTAAACTGTTACCCCAAAAAGCTACTGTAAAAAACAACGTTATATACAATTTACTGTATATGAAAATTTTGAATTGAAATGAAGAAATTGTTCCAATTTATTGTTATAATAAACTGGACAAGCGTTCAAGGAATCAAACTGAAAAAAACAAACCAGGGGAGAGAGACTCCAAAAACATCCTCCCTTTGACGCCCATATTTTTTAAATAAAAATCTTGAATACATTAGGCAACTTGAAAATCATAATACATCGGCATTTATTTTTCCTCTTCCCAACAAAATTAGTGTACCCAACTCAAGTAATATTGTTTCTAATGTTAAAGAACAATCATAAGCATGGAATCTCACAAAGAGAGCTTCCAAGTAATGGAAAACTATATAACCCTGGGACAAGATAGATTCCTCTTCAATTGTAAGCTACCTAGAGAGGGAAGACTAGGCCCAACACGGTCCTAGTATTGACCTAAGTCCTACTGGGCCTAATAAATTTGTTAAGTTTAATTATTATTTTTTGAAAAACCAATCTCAATAAATTAGATTTAATAACAGTTTTAACTTTTAAAGTATTTCTGTTATTTTAAGTAATTAATTTTTTTTATGTTATAAGAGATAATTTTATTTCATACATATATATAAGGGACATGATATATTAACCACCAAATTTTTTTACCATCTTTACAACCAACATAATTACTATTGATTTCCGTCAATCTAACGGTTATAACATACATACATATAAGGGACATGATTTATTAACCACCAAAATTTTTTACCATCTTTTACAATCAACATAATTATTATTGATTTTCGTCAATCTAACGGTTATAATTTATTGGGACGATCCAATAATTTTCAATAAATTATAATCGTTAGATTGGCAGAAATCAGTGATAATTAGATTAGTTGTAAATGTTGTAAATTTTTTTTATGATAAACATATCATTCCCCTGCATTATAAATATATACAAATTTTATAGTGTTATTTATTTTATTTTATGTCTTTAATAATGGTGGCATATAGGGAGAAATGTCATGTCAAAGTGGGAGAAACCGAGTGATATTAATGGGAACCAGAGAAGAAACCAAAAGAGAACGAACAAACTTTGACTCTTTGTAAAGTATTTATCCATGTCTTCTTGGTCTTCATCTTCATCGCTGTATTCGAGCTTCACGCCCGACATGGACACCGACCAACACCTACCCACACACAATCCCCTCTCCCACGTTGTCCAGAGGGATCTCTCCCGTCTCAGATTAGCCCAGAAAGCCGTTCATCTTATCCCTCTTCTGGTTCTTCTCTGCGCTATCATCCTCTGGTTCTTTTCTTCTCCCACCAACAAAGGTTCTGTCTTTTCAATCTCAACGTTTTTCATTTTACTTTCTTTTATAGTACCAATTATTTTCAATTTTGGACTCCGTTGAAAGTAAGAGTTCTTAACTAATCTGATTTTTACACACATCACAGATTACAGAATTTGATGGATGAACATTTTCAGCCTATGGTTAACATCTCATTAAACATGGAGGTCGGCACATACATATATATGTATATATATATTGACCTCTTGGAAAGTTAAGAGTGAAGAGGGTGAGACCAACTCGAGTGCTATTTTATTTTTTCAAAATGATTAGTCATTCAGTTTCCATTGTATCAAACAGCTCTATACCTATCAGCACTTAAGCTAGATAGAAATTTTATCAGATTATGTATCAATAGATTGCTTGTATGTTTCTTGATTCAGAAGCCCTCTTCAATTTTGATTTTATTACAACTATATTGCTTTTGCTATATCAGAAGGAATGCTCATATGTTAAGTGTATCTGGAACTCTTGATGCATCTATTGTTGCTGTTTCATAGCCACAGAAATATCTTTTCCCACAAACAATTAAACGTAAGTGATACAACTACTAAATCTCCAATAATAGGTAAAAGCACACTAGGTCATTTTCTGCAAGACATCATTTAGGCAGAAAAGAAAGGGGACAGATTAACATACAAGTACTGACTATACTTATTCAAGTCTACAAAATTTCAACACATCCTATTGCAATAATTAACATAAGAATTTTTCTTTGCATTACATAAATGCAGTATATATATTCAGTGTTGGCACTAGGTAGGTAGATTGAGCAGAAGTGAAACTCCTCATCCCTTGACTGAGCCTCCCAGCCTTGCTTATAGACTCTCACAAGTAAAATTTGTGTGCTGCAGCATTGGTCCAAGCTTGACTAGCTTAGGCACGACAATATTGTTCCTAACCGAACACCACACGGGGTTCTCCCATTGTAAAATGGAACCCACAAGGTTTGCACGTATGGTTAGTGGAAATACACGGGGCCATCTTTCAGTGCTGTATGACCTGAAAGCTTCTTCTACAGATGGGTCTTCAGACTTGATGGCTCCTGCAAGCTTTTTAGCAAGAACCACTGAATCCTCAAGTGCACAGCAGGCTCCTTGACCAAGATTTGGGGTCATTGGATGCCACGCATCTCCAACCAGCACAACTCTACCTACAGAAGCAGATGGAGTTGTGGCTGGCCAAAGCCACCGATCTACCAATGGAGTCCTAATAACAGTGTCATCCGGAGTAGAATCCATTATGTTCAATAGCTCTGAAGGCCAATTCCTGACTAGTTCCTTAGCTTCCTTCTTCAGCACCGATGAATCAGTTATTTTTGGACCTGCCATTGAACTCAAAAACGATTATCTTTCATAAGAACCTAGACAAAAATAGAAGATTGACATATTATGCAAAATAACTTAACCGTGAACTAACCTGGAGATGGACTGTTGAAACAGATAAACCAATAAACTTTGGTTGGAGAGACAGGAACATAACCGGCACGCAACCCTCTTCCATAGATGTAATTCACTCTTGGTTCGTAAGGTTGTCCATCTGAATAAGAAGCAAGTCCTCGGAAAGCAATATGGCCAGCGTACTTTGGCTCAGGAAACCCCATCCACTTAGCTATTGGTGATCGAATCCCATCACACCCTATTACAATCTATTTAATGATGAAATTAGTTTGTTTCACACTTTTTCAGAACGAGAGCTTCATAAATTGGCCATTACGTTTCTAAGTTCCAACAATTTATAGGATACTACTAAGATTTCAAATTTTCAATCATAGCCAAATCATGTGATTAACTAAATATGTTATATTTCATGAAATTGAAATCCTAGCAGCTATATAGTTTTGAGCTGAGGAAGTAAAATCACAATGACTGACCTTTGCAAGCATCTTAGACCCATCCACAAGTTCCAAAAGGGTATCCCCGTTTGGACTTGCTTCAATTCTTGCAAGCCGCGAAGAATATTGAATGGTATCCGGAGGGAGCTGACCAGCCAAGGTTTCCAAAAGTACTCTCCTCTCCACTGCACGCATCTCTTGGCTGCAGGATAACCCTTTTGCATTTGGTTATTAAATATCATCCACAACTCAATGCTTATTATAGCCTGAATTAATAAAATCCAATATGAGACTATATATCCTATATTCATATGCCATACACCATACCTTTCATCTTCTTCTTTTAAATTGAAGGCGCGTAGTTCCCTCCCATCCTCGGACTTCACCACCAACCTGTACAGCTGATATTATGAATCACCTCGAGCTCAGTTGATATATGATTCAAATAATCGAACTGTTTTATTTTATTCAAATTAATTTTAATTTTTTTTAACCTGGAACCTGTTCAGAGTCTGTTAATGTCTCAAAATCAATTTATGATAAACAGTTGAGAACAGATTTTTCAAAAGTGATTCTTTTAGTTGAGTTCAATTGTTAAATTGATTTATAAAATTAATTCCGAAACTTTGTTAAAAAAAAATTACTATTACTAGTATGTACCCTTGAATTTCTAAGAATTGAGGTCTGAGATCATTTGCAACTCCAATTGCATCGAGTACCCTCCACCCGTTCTTGAGAAGGGTGAGTGAAGTTCCACCGGTTCGAAGTGACCCTGCCTGCTCCAGTACCAGGGACCGAATTCCAAGCCTGATCATTCATCATGTACATGCATGTTATAAAACAAATGTTAGAGAGCATCACTGTTTATAAACTAGAGCACTGACTGATGACTATGAAGATTCGCGAGTTGCAACCTGTGAAGTGACAGAGCAGTTGCAAGGCCTGCAATCCCACCACCCACGATCACAACCTGTTCCTTTCGGACATCAGATTGAGCCATTATGGTTTTGCTTCTGTGGGCTCGAAACAAACCATTGCGCATGAATAATGTTGTGGTATGAGAAGACGGTGAGCTAGGAGATTTGAGAAAGACAAATGACGAGGTTGTTGTAGTAGCCATTAATGTTCAATTCAGTTCTGATAATAATTAGTAGCTACGCAATAGACAGCGTACTCGTGGAGAGATAGTACGTGCGTGTTCAGCCTTGGGGCCTTATAAACTTGTGGTGTGGGACGTTTCCTTTTTAGAGCAAAGCAAGACTCGGGAGGAATTATTATTCCATGTTATTTACATTTTGTCAAAAAGTTTTAAAAGTATAACTCTAATATTATGGGTTCAAAATCATTTAACACAAGTGTAATTTATACTCTAAATTATTATTATTAATCTTATTTATATTTAATAGTTCTGAATTATTAAATATTTAAATTGTTACATACAAACATTTTTTCCATAAATCAATTATCAAAATGTAATGTAAGACTTCTTGATATTTTATTATAGATATTAAATAATATTTTAATTGTCTATAGTAATAAATCATACGTAAACCAAATATCTCACGGAGACAACTATTCAACGCCTCAACGGTTATTTTTATTTCATTTTTTGTTAATAGATACTTGGTTAATAATAATCGCAGAACCGTCGACGCCGCCAACCAAGACTATTCAAGAAAAAGTTTTAAAAGTATAACTCTATAATTTCATAGGTGGGAGAACATTTTACATAGATATAAGTTATACTTTTAATTATAATTATTATTGATCTTATTTATATTTAATGATTCTAATTTATTAGATATTTAAGTTTTTAGATTATTTATTTTTAAGAATAATTCATTGCTTATTATAGATATTAAATAATTTTTTTAATTGATAATTAGGTGATATCCTCACTCAACCTTTTCCAGAATACGGCTCAAATGCTAATTCCTCAATGAAAGAGAAGATGCATTGGACCACTGTCAACAGTAACTCATTGTAATAGATGATGCATTAGACTACTATCACAGAAAAAAGATGAGACTAATTCTCCTTTGAAAGAAGATAATTTCTCTCTGATTTCAAAAAAATTCCAAGAACTTATTTTAGCTAAGGTTTGAACACTTGACCGAAGCAAACCCTTGAGAATACATGATAATTTTTTAAGTGCCTATAGTAATAACTCATACGTAAAACAAGTATTTCACGAACGAGAAAATCTTCTGTGCAGTGGATGTGTGTATATCCTGGTCTACAGAGATAAAATTTTAGGATTTGAAGGGAAATAAAATAAAAAATAAGGATATAAATGGAAAAAAAATTCCCCTTTGGTAAAAAAATATACCCAAATGAGTAGTATTTAAAAAATTTCCCCAACGGAGACTACTATTCAACGTCTCAACGGTTAATAATAATCATAGAACTGTCTACGCCGCCAAGCAAGTCTATCCAACACAACCGTCAAATAACAATTTTATTTTTATAGATTCTCTACCGTTCAAGACTATTCAACGGGTTGTGTTGTGTTGTGGCGCAGATATCAGACTTAGAGCCCAACTTCTCAACTAGGCAACCCGATGGGTTTGGGTTGGATGATTTACGAGATTCATTTTGGGCTAGCCTTGTCCTACATAAAAAATTTAAAGTAAGCCCATGCGTCGAATATAATAGTAAAAAGAAGTGTGGAGTTGGGACTTGGGAGGTGTGTAAACAGATACAACAATTTTAGATCATATTCCACACTTTCAAAGTTATGTTTCACTTTCTTTTTGTTATTATTTTTCAGTTTCGTACATTTTTTTCTTTCCATGTTTTATCTTACATCTCAGTTTGCCTGTTTTTGAGACAACGTAAATAAACTCGTGAAAATTATTTAAATTATTTTAGCACCATTACGTTTTGTTGAATGTGTTAAACACAAAACAAAATATGAAGTTTTCATTGTTATCAAACACAGTGCATAAGATCTTAATGTCTGGTCCAACTTTAAACCACTGTTTAAAAACCTGGCCCGCCATCGATCTGGCTGAGGTCAGGGGTCACAGGTTCAACCGGGGAGTCAGGGGATCATTACGCTGACTCGGTTTTATATATTAAAAAAATATAAATAGATATATCCTATATGAAAATATTAAAAAACAAATCACCAATTATCAAAGATTCAAAATATACTTAACATAATTCACCAATTATAACCATAAGTCAATATTATACAACCTAATTAAAGTATCAAGATACCAAAGTACAAAACTCATATTCTAATGGGGTCACTACACTGACCCGGTTCTGCTTCTTTTGAGAAGGTCTCTGACAAAGGAAAATTTAAAGAAAGTAAGAATGAGTTTTTGTTTTCTATCGACAACCCTTAAGGATTTCATTTGAAGGGGTAAAATTCTTACCTTTTATAGAAGATTCACGGCAGTGAGGTGAAGATTGAAAACATTTAGGTCACTAGGAGAGAAGAGAATAATTAGATTTAGGTTTGTAAGCATTTTTATTTATTTTTTTAATAAAACAATGTTGTTTCATGAATTTTTTTTTTAAAAAAAAAAAAACATACAATGACTCCCTTTGACCCCTCTGACCCGGGAGTCACTGAAATCCGGCCAAATTTTGGGGGTCGGAGGGGTCGATATGCATATAGGGTCCAACTTGTGACCCAACCCTCAGAGAGAAGGGGTCAGGGTTGACCCAGTTCAACCCGGAAGTGGGGCGAGATTTTAAAACACTGCTTTAAACACGGGAGACGATACCGATCATTAATTTTGTTAAAAAAATATCCATATATCATATGCTTATAATTAATGGATGTATTTGAAACCATTCATCTCAGCTCTACTGTCCGTCTGACTTATAATTAATAGATGTCAAGTAGTTGATCCATATGGTTGCTTCAAATTAAATAACTAACAACTATTTGTCGTCGCTTTCAATGGAAATGACCCCATGGTTCCATTGTATTCCCTTACCTTTCTAAGTAAAAATAAAAGAAACGTTCAAAATGAACTTAGACTAGTGGTGTAGGGTGTGTGTGATTGTGTGTAGTGTAGAGGTGTGTGTTCAATTCCCTTGTAATGCAAAAAAGAAACGTTCAACATTAATGTGCATTACCATCAATCATTTATAGCCCGGTGCTATATCAATCATTTAAATAAAAAATGTTGCAAATTGCATTAAATACAGACAACGACAAAATAATAATAATGCAATAATCGTTTACCAAAAAAATAATAAGAACGTAATAATCTAATGTATAAATGTTTAAAAAACAGAGATTCAGTATGTATTGAAAATTAAGTTGAATTAGACAGATAATAATGTTTATATGTATTTAATTGTGGGTTTTATAATTCTTCAGCAATTGGAGAATAGAAAAGCTTTCCGCTGACCCTTCAAAAGCCGTGTCAAACCCTTTGCTTTTTTTGTTTTGTTTTGTAAGTGGATCCCCTAGAATTTTCTCTTAGCAAAACAGGAGAGTTCTCTTCTGCTATTGAATGAGAAGATGTTATCCCATTTATTGTATATTTATCACAGAATATTATGCGGCTTATTAAAAAATATTATAAGCTTTTACTATTTTTTTCTAATGGTTCAGACACGTATATATTATTAGACGTACAACGATACAAGTCTGGAGCAATATTATCATACCCGATTCGGCTAAGATATTGGATCACTCATCGGTTAAATCGTATGATTCGAATTAATACATGAAAATTTATATTTTATATATAAAAATACTCAAATATATGTGAAAATTTATTATGCAAAACTGCAAACATATATAGTTTTTGTATGGCTAAAAAAAGTCATATATACTAAACCACATATAATATATTGTAAAAGAAATAAACAAAGAAAAAAGTTCAAGTACCAATTAATCACATATAATTCGTCTACCAAATATCTTCAACTAACATATTTAATAATTATAAGGTATTTACCAATATCTCTTCCCATAAAAACAGATTTGCAAGGAATCAATATGTTACATTCTCTTAATTTAATGTTTCGCAAATTGCTTCCGTCTTTGAATTTGAAATTTAAAGTTATTATAGGAGAGTATATTATCAATGAACAAAATTAACAAATTTTTTGAGAGGAGTTCCACATTTTTTTAAAGACAAAACTAGACAACTTTTTTTTTTAAATACATGACCTTTTGATTATCCGACCATATCACCAATTTTGATAAAACCTAGTTGGTTCTAACTGATTTTCACCGGATCTGATAAATGGCCAGTCCAATACTTAATTCAAATCGGTCCATGACCGGTTCATCGAGTTTCGGATCGACCCAAGTCTGATAACACTGCTATAGAGTCATGATTTTCTTAAAAATTGCTCAAAAGAACATTTTAAAAAATTAAAAAGTACAGTAAAACAATTTGAAGTTAAATGCAAAATACTTTTATATTTTTATGTGTAGTTATAGTTACAATTTTATTCAATTTAATAAATATTGTGTACCGTTAATTAGGGGTGTTCGCGGTCTGGATTGGATCGGTTTTGGAAGCAAAAATCATCTGATTCAATCCCTTCAGTTTGATCATATAATTATCCATTCGTTTTGATTTTTTTCAAATCCGATCCAATCCAATTTTTTTCGGTTTGGATTGGATCGGTTTTTGGTTTTTTGAAAATCTTAAAATTTATTTCATGATTATTGTGCAAATAACATCTTTTATATATATTGGCTTTGTAATTTATTTATTTTTTGAAATACAAAAGCATTAGTAAACTATAATATAGTTTTTTTTTGGGCAGTGAGATATGAAGCTTTACAAAGATAAAAGTTTGTCGGTGAGATGTGACTAGATTTTTTTTTGGGTTTAGTTGATGGATTAATAGGTCTTGGGTTTAGAAATTTTTAGGCTATGATTAGAAAAAAAATCCAAGTAGGTAGAGAGAAATTAATATATTAGATCGGTTTGGATTGGATCGGTTTTCATCTTCCCATCCAAAAACCGATCCAATCCAATTAAAACTTGCGATTTTTTTTTGGTTTTCAATTTTTCGGTTTTCGATTTATTCGGTTATCGGTTTTTCGATTCGGTTATCACAGTTTGAATCGGTTTGGATCGATTGATGAACACCCCTGCCGTTAATTACCTTTGGGCAAAAACATTTTTATTAGAAGAATATTTTAGACAAAAACTTAGTGTAACTATTGGACACTTGCATCTTAAGTATTACCTACCTTCTCGCCTGACA